CATTATTATTATTCCTTCTTATTAGTATCTTTCTCCTTCTTCTCCTTCTTTTTTTCCTTTTCCTTTTCCTTTTCCTTTCCTTCTCCTTCTCCTTCTCCTTCTCCTTCTCCTTCTTCTCCTCCTCCTCCTCCTTCTCCTTCTTCTTCTCCTTTCTCCTTCTCCTTCTCTCTTCTCCTTCTCCTTCTCCTTCTCTTCTCTTTCTCTTTCTCTTTCTCTTTCTCCTTCTTCTCCTTCTCCTCTCTCCTTCTCTTCTCCTTCTCCTTCTCCTTCTTCTCTTCTCCTTCTCCTTCTTCTCCTTCTCCTTCTCCTTCTTCTCCTTCTCTCCTTTTCTCTTTCTTTCTTTCTCTTTCTCCTTTTCCTTTTCCTTTTCCTTTTCCTTTTCCTTTTCCTTTTCCTTTTCCTTTTCCTTTTCCTTTTCCTTCTCCTTCTCCTTCTCCTTCTCCTTCTCCTTCTCCTTCTCCTTCCTCTTCACTCTCTTTCTCCTTTTCCTCCTCCTTCCTTCTCCTTCTCCTTCTCCTTCTCCTTCTCCTTCTCCCTCTCCTCCTCCTTCTTCTTCTCCTTCCTTTCTCCTTCTCCTTCTCCTTCTCCTTCTCCTTCTCCTTCTCTTTCTCTTTCTCCTTCTTCTCCTTCTCCTTCTTCCTCTCTCCTTCTCGCTCTTCCTCTTCCTCTTCTCTTCCTCTTTTGTATTGGATTTCTCTTTTATCATTAAATAGCAGTGAGATATTGGATAGTTGAAAGTTCAGTTAATACAATCTCAGTTTTACAGAAGTTTTGAGAAAATTTGGATGAATGATAATTTATTTCCTCTTTTAGTACACTTCGTGGATGCTACACAAAGTCATAACAGATTATGGCTAAAATATTACTCCTGTATATTTTTTAAATTACAGTTACAAGACGTCACAGAAATTGTCAGAGGATGTGGGGCTCAAGTGCTTGAGTCTGCTGTTGCCTCTTCAGAGAGTTTTGCCCACTGCTTTGTCATTCCAGGTGGCCAGGCAAGTCATTCAGGAGAGAAATTTTCGGTTTTACATTTACTTGTGAACTTTTAGCTCTTAAAGGGAAAGAGATAAAAAATTAACAGAACAATTAAGATTCAACTCTTTTGTATTATTCAGGTCATAATCATATCATTTGGTTCAAATGGATTATGGAATTTTATTCATGGATATGAGGAGACTGATAGGTGGATATAGATATATAATGGTCAGGTGATACTGCAGAAAGGAAAGAAAATAAATGTAAAGACAGAAATAATGAATAATGTTCAGAATTATTCCACTTGACTAGAAATCACTTTACAGAAGTATATGACCAAAAAAATCATATCTTCTTGGGAGTCGCTTGCGGAGAAGGACTACCAACTCAAAGGACCATCTGTGTTCACTGTGAGGGACAACAAGCTCCTTCAGGGGCAACTTGCCAAGAAGATCAGTAACTCGAGTCAGAGCCAACTGGTAGAGAAAATTGGTGCTCGTGTGGGAGATGCTGTTGTCCTTGCGGTCGGGAGAATGTCATCTGTGGTGAGTGAATAGGGGGAATGTAGTAAGATTCAGTTATTTCTCATATATTGGTCTTTTAACCATGGGTTGTAGCTTTCTTTGTGAGATAATTTCCTAATAGCAAGCTTAATTCTTTTTAGGAAGTATTGAAACCATGGTGTTGGATTACTGTACATGAGCTCTTCCAATAGAGTAGGGAAAACCTGTGTTTGCTTTTTATAGAGAATGTTTTTCTTCAAATTTTACAAATACACATAAGACTAACCTCTCCTTTCAGTTACCTCTGCTGGGGAAACTACGCCTGTTATCAGCAAACATTTTAGAAGAGGCGGGTGTTGTGGTGAGAGATCCTTCCGACTTCAAGTTCCTCTGGGTAGTTGACTTTCCCCTCTTTGAGATGGATGAAGACAGCGGAAAGCTAGTCTCAGTCCACCACCCGTTCACGCTGCCCAAAGACGAGGATGTTCATTACCTTCACACAGACCCAATAAAGGTCTGTTGCATTCTTTTCTTCAATGTTTGTGGCAATTTGAGGATGGATGAGAAAGGAACATCTTATAGGAAATGAGGAATATGTTGAACAGCAGAGACACAAAGAGCGTTTAGTAAGTGTAAGAAGATAATGATGATATAATGGAAATATTTTCTTTTCTTGACAGGCGAGATCCCAGCACTATGACCTTGTGTTGAATGGTTGTGAGATTGGTGGAGGGTCCATGAGAATCTACGAACCATCGATGCAACAGCACGTTTTAGAGAACATCTTGGGGATAGATGCCTCAAGTCTCGGCTTCTTTAACGAGGCTTTGCAATCAGGAGCTCCTCCTCATGGGGGCATTGCACTTGGTAGGATGATGCTTGAAAGATAGGAGTTTTGTGTCAAAGCATAATGTTCCTAAACATTAAAAATGAGTTTTAAGTATTTAAAAATTTTAGTTCAGTTTTGGCATTATTGACTTTAGTATTGAAGCTGTGAAAGCATAAATTTTCAAAACATTCAAAGCAGGTATACAATTACAGGAATTCAGGTAGGAATTTACAATTATCGCTGTCAGCTTTTCCGTAATAGCATTTCTGCCAATCTCTAAACATCAGATGATAAAGAAGAGAGATATAAATATTATTGGACCATACGTTATCATAAACGAATGAATATTACAGTTACAGTGCATAGGATCAAAGTCTGGTGATTATAAGTTAATAGCGTAGTGACATCACCATCCGTTGGTCGTCTTTTGTTTCCATTTGATAGATTAATGTCCATAGAATTCCAGCCATGTTCTCAAAAAAAAAAAAACTGATACAAATACAGGAAATCAAATAGAACTAATTAATATAGGAAAGAATTTCTTGTAAAAATAAATCAAATTAATTTTACAAGTATTAATGGCTTTCAATAAACCAAAATATTTGTGAACCATCTCATCTCTCCGCAGGCTTTGACCGACTCATCGCTGAGATGTGTGGAGCGAAGAGCATACGGGATGTGATCGCCTTCCCCAAGAGCATCGAAGGGAGATGCTACATGTCAGGGGCTCCAGGAAGTGTGACAGCACAGGAAATGGACCTCTACCACATTACGGTTAAGGAGGAAGATAACAAGAAATCGTGATAAGAGCAATTTTTGCCTTTCCCTTAAGCATTTTTTAAAATTTTTTTTTTTTTTTTTTTCCTTAAGCATTTTTTTTTTTATACATTTTCTATGGAGTCAGTTCTGAAGATTTGGGTTTGTAAATAATTTAACTTCAAATAAGTTATATAAATTGACTAATAAAATATGTCTTATATGTCTTATCTTGCAAATGTTTATCCATTCGTTTACTTGTTACTGAAATGTTCATCATAATTTAATTTTTTATCTTTCTCTCTAATTTTTTTTACTGAAAGTGGTTAAATACAGATGGCTATGTATTGTTGATTATGTGAATAAAGTGTACAGATTATTATGTTAATAAAGTGTACAGTTGTTTTTCATGTGTATCTGTTTTCTTCAAAATTTAGTGTACTTTTTCTCATTTCATTTTATTTGCAATAGATGAAATATATTGGGTTCTTTCTTATTGAAAATTCGATTTCTCTTTACAATACCACATTACACTAAAATTCAAATATTTTATTTTTTTTGCAAATTTCATTGTCTACTTAAAATAAATTCTCCAGTAATATCAGTTGCAGTTGTTTTATGTACAGGCTACTCTTCTCCCATTCAGCATCCATTCTTACCATGGTAAATTGTGGACCAAATGGCACCACATTGCACTATTCCTGCACTATCAGCATATTGGATGAAGATTGCTTATCTCCTCTTAAAAGCGACAACAATCATACGGTTAAACCGAGGCATTGGCACCCAAAGTGTGGTTAAAACCTTCACTTTTTAATAGTTTTTAAACTGATCACAAAATAAAAGTATTTAGGTGCCTAATACTGCTCTCAAAGGGGAAACTGCTTATGCACGTGAACAATGCCGTTTATGTCCACTAGCCAAAAATTGTATTCTTGGGCAAATGAGACATCTTTGCTTGTTAACAGCTTGATGTCATGTTTTTAAACTAAGATAGATTGCCAAAATACAATTCATATTATGATCTGAGTATATTTATATACTGTATTTTCATATATAAATATATAAAAATAAGTAAAATAAGATTTAGACATGAAATGTAGCCATGCAGATATGTAATAATTTATCTTACTGAATCACTTGACTATAAACTATAAAAATCCTTAAGAAGACAAATAGAAGTGTGCTTCAAATAACTACAAGAACATATTGCGTAACCATTGCATGTACATGCCCATCTGACAGCTGAAATTCCCCAGCATTAAAGGTTTTTTCATATGGATGCAATCTACATTCCATAGCTATACTGTGGAATTTCCTTTCAAGTCCACAGAATCCAAGTATGGATATTATATTTCACAAATATTCATAATGATTCTCTGATGAATTTGCGTTAGCAATGTCTCAAGAAAATCATTATGCTTCTTAATATCAACAAACAGAAGTGTGGCAGCATTTTAGGGGGAAAATGTATTTGAATTAAACACAACAGACTTAGGATATATTAAATACTCCAACAACATACACTTTAAAAAATAAATGATAAAACCATGGAAACACCAACATATAGACCCATAATAAAGTACAAACAATACTAACACAGTTCAGTTTTTTGCTGATGCATTAGTTCTTTAATCATTTTCATATTAAAACATAAATAACAACAACAAGTATTCTAAATCTGACATCACATATTACAACTGGGCAAGCACTCTATATCAGACATAATAAATAACAACTGTACAAGTACACTTTTCCAGAAAACATGCAATTTAATGGAGGAAGTATTAGAAAAGTGTCAAGTTTCTCCACCAGCTTTATCAATATTGTATACTGCCCTAAAATGCAATTTAGATTTTGCAGTATATCAAATCACTATCTGTTGTATTTCTCAGAATCTACAGAAGAAGTTTTAAAGACAATCATAAGTCAACTATCCATCTAACAAAATATGATCAAGTGTAAGTACAAGGATAAGTAGAGAAAATTGGTGTGGCTACCGGTTACTGAAAGGTTATTAGGTTCTATATACTGGTCCATACAATGTTTGCGGAGGTCTGTATTGTGGCTGCTGACTTCTATAACTGACCATGGGTTGTTGGGCCATACACTGTTGTTGGGGTCTATATACTGGTTGTTGGGGTCTATATACTGGTTGGTGGGGTCCATACACAGGTTGGTGGGGTCCATACACAGGTTGGTGGGGTCTGCATACTGGCTGTTGGGGTCCGTGTCCTGGCTGTTGGGGTCTATATACTGGTTGTTGGGGTCTATATACTGGTTGTTGGGGTCTATATACTGGTTGCTGAGGTCTGTTTATTGGCTGATGGGGTCCATACACTGATTGCTGGGGTCCATAAACTGGTTGTTGGGGCCTGTATACTGGTTGTTGGGGTCCATACACTGGTTGTTGGGGTCCATACACTGGTTGTGGGGGCCTGTATACTAGCTGTTTGAATCCATATGCTGGTTGTTGTGTTCCATATACTGATTGTTGGGGTCCATACATTGGTTGCTGGGGTCTGTATATTGGCTGCTGGGGTCCAGTCACTGGCTGTGTAACACATTCTGGTTGTGGTGTTTCAGATCCTGGCTGATCAGTTTCAAATTCTGATTGATCTATTTCAGATCCTGGTTGATCTATTTCAGATCCTGGTTGATCTATTTCAGATCCTGGTTTGTCTATTCAGATCCTCTTTTCAGATCCTGTTTGTCTATTTCAGATCCTGGTTTGTCTATTTCAGATCCTGGTTTGTCTATTTCAGATCCTGGTTTGTCTATTTCAAGATCCTGGTTTGTCTATTTCAGATCCTGGTTTGTCTATTTCAGATCCTGGTTGATCTATTTCAGATCCTGGTTGATCTATTTCAGATCCTGGTATTGATCTATTTCAGATCCTGGTTATTTCAGATCCTGGTTGAGATCCTCTATTTCAGATCCTGGCTGATCTATTTCAGATCCTATCTATTTAGATCCTGTTGATCTATTTCAGATTCTGGTTGATCTATTTCAGATCTGATCCTGGTTTGTCTATTTCAGATCCTGGTTGATCTATTTCAGATCCTATTTCAGATCCTGGTTGATCTATTTCAGATATCTATTTCAGAGGTTGATTTTCACGTGGTAGAACTATTTCAGATTCTGGTTGATTTATTTCACATCCTGCTTGCTGTTTTTCAGAGGCTGGCTGATCTATTTCTGATCCCCGTTGCGGTGTTTCTGATCCTGGCTGATCGGTTGCAAATTCTGGTTGCTGTGTTTCAGATCCTGCTTGATCTATTTCAGATCCTGATTGATAGGTTACACATTCTTTTTGATGCATTTCAGATACTGGTTGTTGGGTTATGCATTCTGATTGGTGTATTTCAGATCCTGGTTGTTCATTTATGCATTCTAATTGATGGGTCCTACTAACTGGTTCTTGGCTGCCATGTTCAGATCCATTCATAGGTTGGTCTGCATCTACTGGTTGCTGAGTTACATATTCTAGTTCTTGGGGTCCAAATACTGGTTGTTGAGGACCATATACTGGGTGTTGGTCCCCATATACTGGTTGGTGAGTTCCATACAGTGGATGTTGTAGACCATATCCTGGTGGCTCAGCAAACATTGACGGATCAGCTCCATAAAACGGGTGGGGTATACCAGGATTCTGTTTTCCGGCTGATACTTTTTCTTTATCTGTATTTAAAACAAAAGTATGCTCTGTGACTTCTGAATGGAAAGTAAAACTTCAGTAGAATATCCTAGTTATAAAGGAAATGAGCAAAATATGAAATGAATTTAGTATCGTCAGTAAAATAAATAAATAAAGAAATAAAATGTCTAAAGAGGATATTAATAAATACCTAACAAATCATTTTTCTTTTCTTTTCTTTACTTTCACTATATACATTTTCCAAATAGTCTGTCACACTGTTGAAGTATTATGCCATGAATGAAGCTATTGTTCCCTATTAACATGAAATCCTCCTCAGTAATATCTGCACCAAACTATAACAAACCACAATATAAGAAGACTCAAAAGAATCTATATCCATACATTTAGTTCTCCCAAAATAAGAGAGAAGACCCACCCACCGGACGACTTACTCTGCACTTTTTTCCCTGCAGCATCATCAGATTCATTGGGGACGACACAGATCTGCTGCACTGGCGCTGTTTGTGATGCATTATTTGATGATGCCCCTGCTGCTGCTGCTGCTGCTGCCGCTATTGCAATTTCCTCATCTCCAGTACCACAAAAACGACAACAGAACAGCCTATCACCGTAAGGCCTCACTAAAGAATAAGTAAAAAAAAAAAAAAAGGGAAAAAAAAAGCATGAGAAAGATATCTTACATGCTTATAAATATTGATACATTTGAATAAACAATAAATAATTATTTTATGACTGTAGCGGAATGATATCTTTCATTTGCAGATATTTTCATT